TCCAGGAAATGTTCATGGAAGAACTGTGAACTTTGGGTGGGATAATAAAGACAATGTTCAGTTGGTTCACCTCCAAATTAATTCATTCCAAATAATCATTAGTGGAGAGTCTTTCAGTCCGTGCGCAGCAGATCAGCTGAACATGCACAATGGAAACACATTTATTACTACAGGCAAGATTACAGTTCAATATATGTGGAGATTCCAGTAATAATTTGATAAAGAATGAATATTTATTTGGGTTTAAAGAAGATTTGCTCCCTTTAATTACAGGGAAATTATGATTATTGGGTGATTGCAGACCCATAAAATAAACCATTGATTCACATACATTCACAGATTTTGGGGATGTGCATATAGTTTCAAAGAACGTTCATGGAATGTTCTTCTAACAGTGTAACGTTCCTGCTGTAAAACTCTAAGGATGATTCTCTGGAAAATCATCGAAACATCGAAATTGAAGCACTGCCAGAATATTTGATACCTACAGAGAGAGTCGTCGATTACAGATACAGAGATTGCAAACCTAGTTGCCAGAAAATAAAATGTTGTCATTGTACATATCTGAAAACTATGGACACGTTGAATGTCTCTTAAATCAAAAATACATTTCATAAATACGTTTCAAATCAGCTTCGTATCAAGCGTGCAGAAACCAACAATGCCACGTAGTTAACGTTGTGAAACGGTCGGTTAGGTTTAGGAAACAAAACTACTTGGTCAAGGTTAGAAAGAAAACATCGTGTTTTCTGTTAAAATAATAGCACAACGGTACATAACAACATAATCAGTGTAAATAATAACAATGACAGTCGACTTATGCAACATTACATAACAAGTCAACTTCTAATATTGGCTCCACTTGGGACACAAACAACAGTGGTCTGCTGGGTGAAAGTCCCGTGCTTGTTTGGCCCATCCACCATTTACATGTAGTGGACATTCTCACTTGACTCGTTATTGAACCCCTTGACTTTCAATAACGACTGCTCCATATACGTGCTCTGACTAGTGGTGTAACGGACCATTGTTGATCCGTACAGATCCCCCCCCCTCCTCGCGGTTCGGCATACATGTGAACCGCCGATTAATTATACAGTTTAACGTTAACCATCACAGTGTGAAACAAAGTTTTACTGACGATCGTTATCCACCTATATTCAGTAAAATATGCAATCAGGACATCATTTATGCTTCTCTAGTCGCCGCTCTGTGATAATGTTGCATTGTGAACAACCAAACCGGAGGAGAGCTAGTGATGTTAGCAGCACCGCTAACAGCCAACGAAGGAAGGTTCCGTTGGGTTACATTATGATGCGTCCAGGCTCTGTTTGTATTGGTTATCATGTTGTGTTCACATGTAATCTTGTAAAAATGTAGTCTTGGTGAGACACTTAAATAAATCCTGTCATTTGAAGGAGATGTTTTCACAACATAAATAGATATTAGAGATGAATTATGAGCTGATTACACTAGCGCTAAGCAGATTATAATACATGATTAGATATGTTTTAATCCATAAATATACAATCTTTTATTTCTTTATCATTTGAATTGTGTGTTTTTATGAAGAAAAAACCCACTATAAATTACTATAAGAAAGCAAAAGTATAGCATTTAACATTTCTGATGGTTTACTGACTTCAGAGCGGTTGAAATGTTTTTTGCGACTGTTAAAAAAAGAATTAGTACTGGTGGCAAAACAAACGTAATCAGGGATCTCTAAAAGTTATACCTGCTCCCTTTTTTCTTTTGTGCTGATCCGATCTGTGATCCGATCTGACTTTGATCCGTGATCCGATCCAATCCGTTGCACCACTAGCTCTGACCAAAATAACCCAAAGAATGAACACAGTCATGCAACATATCCATGGTTTGCAGAAACGTACAATGCCAACATTTTGTCTTATCTGCAAAATGTTTGTCAAAATATTCGGAGAACTATGTACTGAAAATATGTAAGAAGTCTTTAGCATTCTCTGAATGGATGCCCACATCTCCAATTTGTTTTAGTGACTCTACTGTGTTTGGTGTTATGCTGATGAAACAGCTGTTTCCTCAGTTGGAGACACAATCCACCAGTCAGAGTTTTTAAGACGGGATTAAGGATGGGGATAGCCAAAACCATACTGAGAGAAATACAACACCATCTTTTATGACTGAAAATATACTTTAGATTGACTAGAATACTTGATCTAGTTGTATTGTTTTATGGAAGAGGAAAAGGGCCTTTGACTTTTATATTACAATCAATCCTGGTGTCATTGCTTGTTTTTGTGTTTTATCATAATTTCCGATGATAGATGAGGCAGAACTATTAGAAATTGAATATGAAATAAGTGTGTGTGGGATTGTTTTCGTTGTTGTCTCTACACTTGTTACTTTATGATGATGGATCGGAGCCAGAGAGAGAGACAGAGACAGGGGGAGAGAGGCATACAGAGTTATTTAGCAGTCATTTGTCCTTGGAAGTGTAATGAATTGTAAAGTGAACCAGCTACAGGCCATAATGCTCTTTCAATGCAGCTCCCACGCTCATCACTCCAGCCAGAGTCTGTCGATAACATCCCAACACACACCAACAAACCATTTACACTTCAGCAGTCTGCACTCATCGCTGTGAGCTACACAGCTGCAAACATCTGTCCAACACCACACAGCAGACCGAACTATACTCATTTACTGTATTGTTGCTCATCTCCTATGATGTTTCATCATATATATGTTCCGCCAGGGTACTTTACAGAAACCCTGACGTGGTCATGGTCACACATCTTCATCCTAAAAAAAAGGCTCAGAAACATGTGATTATGCATAATTGTATATGTCATGTTTGTTATGTTGTTGTCATGTCACATCATGTATGTTTTGTTATTGTCATGTGATGTCATCATGTCATGTCTGTTTTGTCACATTATTTCATGTCATGCCATGTGATGATATCATGTGAAGTTTGTTATTTTATTGTGATGTGATGTTCTTTATATATTTGTCATGTGATATCATGTCATGTCATGTCACACCATGTCATACAGTACTATGGGATCTCATGCCTCTCGTGCTGTCATGAGTGCTGTATCTTCACATGGTATCAGATGGTTCATGTCATATCACGTCACACATGTCATTTATATCAAGTCACATCAGATTATGACATTTAGTTTCATCTTACATCATAAGATATCATCTTATGTTTAATTATATATCATGTGTCATGTCGTTTCACATCACCCTCTCTTGTCTTGTTATGTCATGGCACTTCAGATACCATTCTGTGATGATGTCATAAGATGTCCCATGACATCAGGTTATGTCATATCATATCGTGTCATGACATGATGTGTTGTATGGTGGTGTGACGTGCTGTGTCTTGTCATTTAACATCCTGTTGTGTTGGTCATGTTATAGTCACACTGTGACCATCTCATGCAGCAGCAGATTGATTCACTATCTCTCTCCGTGCTCATCAATACATTCTCCATAAACGGAGAAAAAAATCCATGAATGTAATAAAAAAATGAATCAAATCATGACATTTCCAGCAGCAAAGTCGTTTTTTTATATATACGATGCTGTCGTGTCATCTTACATCATTTGCTTCCTGTCATATTGCATCATGTCGGGTTCTCTTGTTTTGCTGTTATGTGAAGTTGTTGGGGGGGAAAGTCCCATAATCAAGACTTTCAAGATAAACCAGTGTTGCAAAGTTTGTCAATATTTGGGGAGTAAAATCTAAATTTAAAGAGGTCGGAGCTTTGCAAGGTAAAATAAAAGAAACATTTTTTCCTCAATGTTGAGGGAGGCTTTGTTGTCAGTTCTGGTTTGATCATGTGTGTATCATGTGTTATTTCTGGTCACCTTACTCTATCTTAACAATCAGAGACAGCAGGTGATGAGATGAGAGCTGAGATGAGATCAAATTTTAATGATCCCTGTGGGCAATTTGCTTCTTTGCAGCAGCAAAAGAGAAAAAAAAAAACTGCATCCTCCATTTGAGTCGTGCTTCACATGTAGAGTAGAGTGAAGGCGACTCTCCACACAGTCACTGTTTGCTGTTTTTGTTTTTCTAACTGTCTTTACTTTCTTTTACTTATTCATAAGTAAATCTAAATTATTCATATTATATTTATAAATAAAGAGCTTAAAATACAATGTGATAACTGATACATTTTGATGAGAACACCTCAAACACGTTAGTAAATGTCTGTATGAAATGTTAAAGAAAGAGATCAACCTCATCAAATGCTCCATTTAATAACTGTTCTGGAGCTTTCAATCATAAGAAAATTGCATTTTTTATGAGCACTTTAAATACTTGTTATCCATGTTTTGTTTATTTTAAAACAACTAGAGAAACTCCATCTTGTGAAAAAAGATCATGTGATATGATCGTTAGCTCCAGAAGTTATTAAATGGACACTGGGGGGGAAATTGGATTTCTCGACTGCTGCTGCAAGAAAAGTCACAGTCATAGTAGCTTATCAAATATCATATGAATGTGTCTTTTCTTTGCTTGAAATAAGATAAAGTTGGGTAAGTTGGGAAGACACATTGAGCTGAAAATGTGGTTCCACATCCACACAATAATTCATTTTTAATTTCTAATACTATCAGATTATTGAATAGGGAGAAAATAAAGGCCAGAGAACTTAGCAAGATATGATGCCTTGCACGCACATTTATAAAAGTCGCATTAATAGCCTATTAGCATTGTTCAGACTGTACAATAATAATATTTTCGTTCGAATCCAACCCGGAGCAGCTCCACCGTCCACATCGCCGCACACACCGAAGACGCCGATTGGCCAACTGGCCCCTTGCACCACTCCCTCTTCATGCCCGTTAGGGCTACCGGCCCCTCTGATTGGTCACTTCCACAGTCAATCAACGCGGGTGACGCCCCTCCATCCGAGCCCGCCTCCTCCCCTCCGCCTCCCGCAGCAGGTTGGGTTGAGCGGTCGGCTAGGGGACCGTGGACAGCTCCCGTCTGAGGAGCAGAGTAACGCAGGAGGAGGAGAGGGCTGGATATGGGGGAGCCACCGCACAGGCCCGTACGATCGAGATAAAAAAAATAATAAATATAAAAACACTTTTTTTTTTTTATGTGCACATACCGGGGAAAACACACAAAGACACGGAGCTGGAGAGGCCTTAGGAGGACGGGGAAACAACCGAGGAAGTGAAGGAAAAAGGGGGGAATACGGCTACTGACCCATCCCGGCGCATCAGGGGTGAAGCAGCGAGAGAAAGGAGGAGAAGAAGGAGACATCATTCCGCTCGACCCGATGGACTGAGAGGACAGATGAATGAAGACTGCCTACACTAACGCCTATAGATGTCTGGCCAAGGACCTGGATGTCTATGCCATGAACACGGACATGACAATGGACGGGCTTGGCAGCCTGCATGGCGGGGTGGCCGTGAGCTCCATGGTCCCTGACGTGGAGCTGATGAGCGGCCACAGCCCGCACCACGGCCGCGGGAGCTCCTCGGGGGGCCACGGGGCGGCAGCGGCAGCGGCGGCCACCCTGCGGATACACCAGGACCTGGCCGCCGCCGCCGCGTCGTCCCGCTCCGCCATGGTGTCCGGCATGGCCACGATACTGGACGGCAGCGGGGAGTACCGGCCGGAGCTGTCCCTGCCGCTGCACCACGCCATGAGCGTGCCCTGCGACACGTCGTCTCCCGGGATGGGGATGAGCGGCACCTACACCACCCTGACCCCGCTGCAGCCGCTGCCGCCCATCTCCACCGTGTCTGACAAGTTCCACCACCACCACCATCACCACCACCAGCGGCTCTCCGGGAACGTGAGCGGGAGCTTCACCCTGATGCGGGACGAGCGGGGGCTGCCGGGCATGAATAACCTATACAGCCCCTACCACAAGGACCACATGTCCGGGATGGGTCAGAGCCTTTCCCCGGTGCTGGGCAACGGCCTGGGCTCCATACACAACACCCAGCAGGGTCTCCACAATTACGGCACCGCGACGCATGGGGGCCACGACAAGATGATAAACTTCGACGCGCACCACACTGCCTCCATGCTGGCCAGAGGGGACCACCACCAGCACCGAGGCCTCGGTGGCCCGACGGCCGGGATGATGCCGCACCTGAACGGCATGCACCACCCGGGGCACCCGGCCATGTCCTCGGCGGGCCACCACCCCCACGCCCACCTCCAGTCTCCATCCCACGGGCCCGTGTTGGCTTCCACCAGAGAAAGACCGCCCTCCTCCTCGGGGACGCAAGGGGTGAACAACTCGGGGCAGCAGGAGGAAATCAACACCAAGGAGGTTGCGCAGAGGATCACGGCGGAGCTGAAGAGGTACAGCATCCCCCAGGCCATCTTCGCCCAGAGGGTGCTGTGCCGCTCACAAGGGACCCTGTCGGACCTCCTGAGGAACCCCAAACCCTGGAGTAAACTAAAGTCAGGCCGGGAGACCTTCAGGAGGATGTGGAAGTGGCTGCAGGAGCCTGAGTTTCAGAGGATGTCGGCCCTCAGACTGGCAGGTAAGAACACAACAAACTGCGCTGCCACGCTGGTGGCTTTTGGTTTGCTTCGTGCGTCAGGACAAGAAGAGTAATTTAAATCTCCCCCATAAATAAAAAAAAAAAAAAGAAATCTAAAATGATTTTCCAACTGTCACTATTTTCCCCCGAAACCTTTTTGCTGGCTTTGTTTTGGTGTTTCCTCGCGGCTCCTTTCCCGCACTCCAATTCAGATGAAGGAAATGTATTTAGAATCACCGGTGTTATGATTACCATTATTGATCAATAACAAAAAGGGATCGATGGGAAATGACAAGGTCACGGGATTTCCCTCCAACAGTCCCCCCCCTCCCCCCCTCTCCCTGCAGCGACCCAGATTATTTTTTCCTATCCCTGCATATAAGAGGGAAAAACTGCACTTTTACTAAATATCAATTAAATTATTATATGCTATAAATTTCACCCAAATTATGGCTTCAAAATAAAATAACAGTAAGAAAAACAAAGGGAAAGAGGGGAGAAAAAAGAGGAAGTGCTTCCACTTCAAAATAATTTAGGAAAATTTGCACAAAATGTAGGAAATAATTCTTCCATTAAAGTCAAACTTCAGGCTCAGAGTTGTTCTATATTTTAGGGGTACGAGGGATTCTATTATGCAGCCGCTGTCATTAGCCCGCTGAAGGCTGCTTTTATTCTCTTGCAGTATTTTGCAGGGAGAGAGGTGCGAGAGAGCACTCACAGCGGGCAGAGAGAGGGGGAGAGGGGTTTGTGTTTGATCGCGAGAGGCGCTTCAAGCGATCAGACGGGCTGTGTGACATAAACACGACGGTCTGCAGCATCAGTGGGTCTGGTGCCCCCTCTAGTGAGGAACTGCGTCCTCTGTCTGCCCCCCTCCCATCCAGCCTCTATTGTCTGCAGGGGACGGCAGCAGCAGCAAAACATAATCAGGTGGCTTTTCAGGATCAGGATGAGAGTGTTTTTCTTCTCGTTGTTTCTTGTTATATTGTGTAACATAAACAGTCTTATGTGGGGTTTTAGTTTGCCAGTGAGATCACATTTAATGGTATTTCACAGAGGTGTTTTTATGGCGATTTGGACATTTTGTAAGCCGGATGTTTGAGTTTAGCTTCAAGACACAAGTGAGATATAGTGTTTACATTCACTTATTCATTTATAAGGGGTTTTCTTATCTCATTGCAGCCGTTAGTTAGTGAAAAATCAGTATGAAGAATACACAAGTTCAGCTCAGTTGCGCAATTGAATCGGTTTTCGCACAGGACTCAAACTTTTCATAAATCCAATGGATGTTGTTGCTTTTATTGTGAAAATCTTCAAAATGTGAACTTTTCATAAGCCAAGAAGATAAAATTAGGTTTGTGACATTTATAAAAGAAAAAGTTAGTTTTTTAGAAGCAGGATACGTTTCTCCCAAAAAGATACCCAAAAAGAAACATCTATCTCCCTTCAGTTAATCTACGAATAAAAGAGAGAGACAGTGTGTTCACCTTAAATCAACATGTTATTTGCTCCTTCTCACCAAGGTTCCAAAACAACACATTGTAATACTAACAGGTAAGATTTGTAACACATAGATGCTGGAAAGATGCTTCTAGAAGAGCTGCATCAGGATACTTATGAAATATCTTTACAGGCAATACAATAATAGTTTGCTTCACTACTTCACTTCACTTCAATACATGTTTCTGGTTTGTGCGCTTAAGAAAAAGACCAAAAACACTTTTAAAGAGTTAAAAAGAAGTCTTTAACAACTGCTTTTCACTCATGCTCCTACATTATTTGACACGTGGCAACCAAGATGAAGTAATCTGCATAAAATACAAATATTGGGACATAACCAAACAAAGTCAACGAAGCTAAACAAACATAAAACTATAAAATACTATTTGAAACAATGCAGAATAAGAGAACTTTATTATGTTCACTGCTGTCCAGTAAAAAAACAACACGTTTTCAGCTAAACTCAAAGACTTAAACATTCCTAAAAACCTAAACCCAATTACTTATTAAAGAAATGAAAGAAATCTTTCTTGTCATGGAGCTTAAAAGCAAAGCTGTTTTTCTAATTTCATGGACAGTTTACATTTTACATACGTGTTTTTCATGGGGCAGTGTTTTACTCTAGATATAGATGATGTAGTGTGGAGTTTGACTTTATTTTCAATAAGGTTATAGTATCTGAAATGTGTTTCTGCTGCGATCACTAATATGAATCCAACAATAAGTCCAATCGGTCCAGAGAGTCTCTGGACTGATACTCAGGGAATGATCCTGGTGAAAGCAAGTCAATTCAAATAGATTTCTTTAACAAGATGTGTTTATTTATTATCGATACCTCTGTGTCCTCGTTGGAATAGAAAAAAAAACATACATGTGAAAATGACAACAAATAGAAATGACAAATCGACATTATATGTAAAATATAATAAACGGTACTGTTCACTTAACAAACACAACCTACGTGGAGTTTTCTAAAGTATCACTAAATGGAGAGTACCCTTACTATGCCTTACTTCAAATAGCTGAAATAATTCCATAATTATCTTGATAAAAAAACCTCATTACTCGTGTAGTATCAGCCATTCTGCTGTAACAAGATAAAACATTTAGCACACACAGAGGTCAGAAAGAAGAAGAAACACATTACACTTAAATAAGTGAGAGTAGATGTAGTATGTTTGAAATGTTTATAATTGTATGAAGTTCGGTTAGTAGCGTAGATATATTAAGTATTCTACTGAGCATCGAATACTAAATTTATTCCTTAAATATATTTGCACAGGGACATTTCAAATATCACCCAAATGATATGTATCGTAGGCTTAATGAAGTCATGGTATCTGTTTATATTCAGTATAACTATCAGCAATGAACGTTATCCAATACGTGTCTCCTTTATTTCCCATAGTGAATATAAACTTCAGTGAATGAAGCTATTTTATTGCTAAATTATTCCTAAAACAACATTAAAAAATAAATTCTGACAGGAGCTCCATAATAACCTTTATAAACTAATTTTATTTCCTGTCATATCTCTATTCTTACACCTTGTGTTAAATGTTTTTTGTGCTGTGACCTTTAGATCGGATCGTGTTCTAAAGTCACATATCTGCGATGGTTTCACCTGACATCCTGATGTACTTTCTCATATTTGATGGCTGCCTCGTATTCCAATGTTTACAAGTAACATCTGTTAATTCTCCTTTTAAACTAATCCTGGCTTTATTTGTGGTGTGCATGTAACATGGTTTTAAGTGTCTGAGCAGTCTTTGCTGAATAGACTCTTATAAAGAATAATCACTGCTAATAGGCAGTGTTTTCTTTTTGTCCCCCTATCTGTTTTCCAATTAATGGAGATCCAAACATCTCAGATCGGCCAGCTGATTCTCCAAAAAATTGATTTGGAATTTTGCATTTAATGAGCCTAGATTCGGTCAGTGGATGTGGTCCAGCTTTTACCCTCACATTTACATTATTTTGTACCCCTACATTTTAAATGTGTACACATGTAGATGAGATTATATCTGCAGGATGTGTGTGTTACTTCGATAGGGGCTCTTTCATTTTCGGGGCTGGCATTTGACGATATGTGTTGATGTGAAAATGACTTGAGTGACGGTGGATGGAGGGTGGAGCTGGAGGAGAGTATCCGTGTTGCTTTGTGTAAAATATACACCGTGAACAGCCTCGTGCTCAAACTGCTGTCTGACGGAGCTACGCTCATCTGCTTTCCCTCTCTGCAAAACACTCGCTGGCTGCTGTGTGTGTGTGTGTGATGCTGGTTTCTTTTTTTAAAAGGCCCCCTATCCACGAATCAAACCTGAAATCATTGTTAGGGTTAGTGATTGACTGAATGTTTTTTTAATAGTAGAGTCAATAGTTGCAGTGGGCTATCCCAGTTTTGGTTGGTCGATACCAAATTGACACTGTGTCAATTCCTTGCATTGAGGAATAAATATTTGTTTTACTACAAACCCCTTTTTTTCTTTTCAGCTTTCTTCATTAGGAAACTAGATAACTAGAAAGCTTCCTGATTGACATGCTGTATCTTCAGAAAGCTGGTCACCAGTTCAAGAGTCAGTGTTGTTGAGGAAAGCCTGATGCTACAACCTAGAAGCTAACTGTGCTTAACATTATCCTAGCTTAGCACAACAGCCTAGTTGCCAGGAAGTAATGTTGTCATAGTATGTTTCAGCAAACCAAAGATATATTGAACGTCAACGTCTTTTTACATTGGGTCAGAGCAAGTGAAGTAGTTTACAGCGTGACCGTTGTTGGAAGAAATGTGATGTAACAGACGAGAAAGTCCACTTAGAGCGGGTCGAAATCTTGGTGGACGAGGCAAAAAGGACTTTCACCCAGGTGACCGCTGTTCCTGCACCGCGTGAAACTAAAAGTCAACGTTGACTTTACGCTTGTTATGCACGGTTGTTGCACTTGTTCAGATCAGATTCAGATTCAACTTTATTGTCCTTGCACAGAGTACAAGTACTAGGACAACTGGGGATGGGGCTATCCCCGTGGTGCAGAGTTTAGTAAGGTGACAGCTGAGAGGAAGAATCTGTTCCTGACATAATATTACGTAAGAAAGTCAGCTGTGGGCAGTTATTGTTTAATTACGCTAGTTAGTTTGTTTTGGTTGTCACGGCTGTTACGTACCGTTGTTACGTTATTATTGGAACACAAACAGACATCTTTTTTCTAACCATAACCAAGTAGTTTTGTTACCTAAACCTAACCAATTGTGTCAGAAATGTTAACTACGTAAAATTGAGCGTTTCTGCCAGCGTGATACGAGGCTGATATGAAAACGGACATGGGCTTCAGAAACATTGACATTCAGTGTATCTGTGGTTTGCAGGAACGTAGAATGTCAACATCTTTTTCAGGCGACCGGGTAGCAAACTTTTTTCCTCGTCTGATAACAGGGTGAAGTCAGCGGCTGGCCGTTGTAAAGCTTTTTAATTCATTTTAATCAATTCTGAATTTTGGATACATTTTTT